TGACTTTTTTTTTTTTTTTTGGAGAGGTTTTTGCTGTAGGGCGTGTGTACTCACCAGGCAGACAGAGAGAGACAGAGAGACAGAAAGTGAGAAATCACCCCCCAGGGGGATGGCCATGCCGTAATCCCTTCTCCTCTATTCTCCTTTCGGGATCTTGGGCACGCATGCACATGTGCCCGGTGTGAGTTTAAGCCACCGGGTCCGGGACTTGAACCGCGGTCGACTACATGGGAGTCCAGCAACATAGCCATTACGCTAACTGCTGGTCCCGAGTGCCTGACTTAAAATCATTCTTTTTGGGGGCTTTTTTTTAACACAGGTTGGGATATAATGGGCAAAAACGCCTTTCTTTTGTTATCTCCCCAGGTACTCTCATATTTGGAATCCTTCAAGTAGTTGCTGTTTGCCTATTAGTTTCATTGCTAAGTGCTTCCTCCCCTTCACCTTCTGGTTCCTATATGTATGTGGCATCAATAAGGAGTAGCATGTAGACGGGTCATTTATGACCTGTTACCTATAGTTGGTTGTATTAGATACATTCATTCTTCCTGGTGTAAATCCCTTGGCGGGCCACGTTTGGCCAGTTTAGGACAGAGGTAGACAGTTCAGTGTTCAGAGTGAGTCATGGCACCAAGGGTGGGGATTTGTGTTCCATTTATCAAGGTGGTCTACCAGTGTTAACACTCAATTGCTGCTAGTTCTGGTAGCTTAGTGTCAAATGTAGTGCTGGCTTGGAGCTTCTTTTTGCTTTTGATGTGATTGTTTTGATTTTGTTTGGTAAAAGAGATTTAAACTAGGAGATGAACAAGTAATAGGAAGCAGCAATTCCATGGCATAGATAAGGAATGAACTGAAGCTTGCTTTCTCCTCTCAGTTATTTTCCTTGCTGGGACTGGCTCTGGTTTTCTTTTAGCCCTTTATTCAAGTACAGACTAATGAGAGAGAGCAAAATGATCCCTTATGTTTATAGGAATGAAAAATTGTTGATAGTAATGCCTTGTTTTTATATCTTATGTATGTTTGTGCATGTGTGTGTAAGCTATAAATTGTTTATTGATTGATAGAGGGGAAGGAATGTTCTCTTTCACTGCATTGGCAACAGGTCTTGCCCGAGGTTAGCAGCTTGGTGGTGGTGGAATTAGGCCTAGGTTCAGGTCTCTGGAATGCTAACTCAGCTTCCTTTTACATCCACATGTCTTCCTTCTAATCTAAAGACCTTACATAACTTTAAATTCTGAATCAGAGCAGGAGCAGGTAAGTAGATAATGGGGAGGGTTTCTTGTTTTCTATCTTTGTTCTATGTCTGTGTTCTAACTTTACTGCATACATAGACACAAACACACATACTACCTTAGAACCATGTCATTTTTCTACATCTAAAACTTAACCTTCACGGGCCAGCAGATGGTGTGGTGGTTAAGGCTGGTGACTTCCACATGGCTGACCACAATTTGAGTCCTAAACCTGGTGGCTTACTTTTTCACTTTACCTCTCTTTTCTGTCTGTCTGCCTATCACTCTCTGGTGAGCGCATGTGCCTTAATAAATTTAAAGAAATAATAGTAATAAATAATTTTAAGTATATTAAAAAATTATTAGATTGTCAGAAAAGTCATGACATGCTTTTCTATGCAAAAATGTGTCACGACTTTAACAACCCAATAATTTTTAAAAAGACTTAACCTCCAAAAAACCAAGAAGAAAGGGCTTATAGTGTTAAATTATGTGATTGTTGAGAAAGTACATGCCATTTCACTTCAGGGGAACCGTTTGAACAACTAGCAATCCATTAAGACAGGCGTTGGAAAACTTTAGCTTGTTTTACAGCCAGGCCACCTTCTGTTGAGAAACTTACCTTGTCCTAATCCTGGAGTAGTGCTACATATAGCCTGTGTGTTGTTACCGTTTGGGATTTATAGCTGGAATTTCGTTGAGTGCAAATTTCAGCCCGTTGTACTTTAAATTCCCCAACTTGGACTTGCTTTGGAGGGCCCTTGTGCGAGGCTGCTAAGCAGACTAAAACAGTAAGCTTGTCTGTTTTCTCCCCAGGAGTGGTGAAAGGGCATAGAAAGGAGTCCGGGGAACTGTATTACAGCATTGAGAAAGAAGGCCAAAGGAAGTGGTATAAACGAATGGCTGTCATCCTGTCCTTGGAGCAAGGAAACAGATTGAGAGAGCAGTATGGGCTCGGCCCGTATGAGGCAGTCACGCCGCTCACAAAGGCAGCAGATATCAGCTTAGGTAAGACCTTCGCTTCCTGAACAACTGCCTTTGGGCCCCACCTCTGCTCTCCTTGGGAGATGTGGCTTCTGAAGCATTCAGTAATGTTTCCCTAACACTTACTATTCCTTTATGTAGCTTATTAAATGGTCATGAGCTATCATTATTTCTAGAGCTCCTGTCTTGCATGTTTTCTTCTTAATACCAAAGAGTGAGCCCTTAGGGTCTTTCTGGCTTGCGTAGCCCTACTAGGGACCAAAGGACATTGTAGTCATGGCAAAAATTGGAACAGAAAATAATAAGGGCCTTGAAAAGAGGCTTCGTGGGACCAGCAGTTAGTGTAATGGCTATGTCGCTGGACTCCCACGTAGTCGACTGCGGTTCGAGTCCCGGACCTTGTGGCTTAAAATTCACGTTGGGTGTGTGTGCGTGTGTGCCCAAGATCCCGAAAGGAGAATGGAGGAGAAGGGATTGCGGCGTGGCCATCCCCCCTGGGGGGTGATTTCTCGCTTTCTATCTCTCTTTCTCTCTTTGTCTGTCTGGCGAGCGCACACGCCCTATAGCAAAAAAACCTTTCAAAAAAGAAAAGAAAAGAGGCTTCCTGCCCCCTCATGGGAGGTGGAAGAAAGGGCACTGTGGTGTCTAAATGAGACTTTGCATAGCTTCTCAGTGTTCAGGGCCTCAAACTGTGAGTCTCTACCAACCCATTGGGTTATCTTCCCCTAGATAATTTGGTTGAAGGGAAGCGGAAACGGCGCAGTAATATCAGCTCCCCAGCCACCCCTACTGCCTCCAGCAGCAG